TAATATGGCTTTACTTTTTATACTTTGCTTTTATACTTGTCTGCTGGATGGTTAAGACCAAGATAAAGCAAGACCTATATAACAAGAAATGTAGCTTTTGTATCTGACAAGGTCAGTCAAATCCCCTCAGGATTTATCCTGAGATCTCGTACCGCAGTTTGTAGATCCTTTGTTAGTGTCAACCATGAGGATGAGTTACGACTATTGCTTGACCAATTTGCTCTCTGTGAAAGCCTGAGAGAATATTTTCTCTCCATGTGGCTCTCTTTAGGCACACTCTACATCATCGATCACATTCCTCTGTGGCCTCATAATGTCCTTGATCAGAAAATTTGGGACACAACTGAGTTACATGATGTTATAGTACAGGTTCTCCTGTGTCCTGAGTATTCACTGACTTTGAAAAGCCAAAAATTAGAAAAAAAGAAAGGCTGCAAGGACAGCCAACATTTTGGCCCTAGTCTGAAGAATTTCTGAAGTCCTTCTGTGAGTATCTTTGAGAGGGGCATGCTGCTCCCCAGTGCCCTCTAGCGGAAAGGCAGGGCCCTAAACCGATAATGGTGTCCCCGCACACCACGTTCACAGTACCTTTTTTTTTATCTTTAAAAGTTTTTTTTTAATTTAAATTTTATTCATTTTAATGAAAATAAGATAAAATAGCCATGAAACATTTTCAAAAACAGGTTAGTAGGACAGTTACAATAATTAATACATTGCACATTGTTGTCTTTGTAGTAGTTATTCAGAGGGCAAGATGTAGACATGAAATCTTGTCTAAACACTATTAGCACAAATCTTTCTTCTCATTGAACTAAGAGAACGTAGCTGTATATCTATCCTAACTATCTTGTATATACGTGTGTGTGTGTGTGTGTGTGTGTGTATCACTACAAAATGGTCTTCCATTTGCATCCCCCTTCCTTGCTTAGCATTGTCACAGATGGATCTTCCATTGCTGTTAGAGAAGCTGTATTTGGAGAAGTCTTAAAAGGGTCTTTCATACTTGATACCAGTGCAAATATTGTAACTACTTGAATTCAGCAAAATAACCCAATAGAGTCCAATAGTACATAATAGTAGTGAGTTACCAGTACAACTGGCAGTTTTCTGAAGTTGCTGAATTGAGCCTTTTACAGTTCAGCATATTAATATAGCTTTACTTTTTATACATTGTGGTTACATTTTTCTGCTGGATGGTTAAGACCAAGTTAAAGAAAGACCCATATAACTAAAAATGTAACTTTTGTTATCTTACAAGCTCAGTCAAATCCCTTCAGGTTTTACTCGGGAACCATATACAGCACCTTCTGCATCTTCTGTCAGTATCAGACATTTGGATGAGTCACAGCCATTACTTGACCAATTTGCTCTCTGTGAAAGCCTGAGAGAATTGTTCTCCCTAGGTGGCTCTCCTTAGGCACACTATGCATCTTGTAACTGCTGGCTCTTTGCAGACTCAAAATGACCATGAAGGTAAAAATGTTGAATTAATTCAGGGCACTAAAGCAGCCAGAACAGGGAAAATGAAGATAACCATGAAAGAGCATTTCCAGAACTCCTTCAGAGAGGGGCAAGAACAATGGGCCTTGTTAGCAGCAGGAGAGAACTTTGAGAGGATTCATTGCAATATGCCTTTTATTGCAATAAATTTTTTAAAATGTAGGCTTTCACCATATTTTTCTATCGCACCTCATAGCTCAAATAGTAAAGTGGAGGAATATACATAATTCTCCAACTATTAAGATATAACAAGATAATATTTAATAGACTTCTTTAAAATACAACCATGGGGCTGGCCAACTAGCTCAGCAGATTAAAGCACCTGCTTAGACAGATGCCGTGGCTGGGGTTCAATCCCTGGCCTGCCGCACTGGCCCTGTCCCTGGGGTGTGCTCAGATGACAATTGAGACTGGTCGTGGTGCCATGCGTCTGTAGTCCCAGCTCCTGGGAGGCTGAACACAGGAGAATCACTAGGAGTCTGATCTATGTAATGAGACCCTGTAGACTCTGTAGTAAAATAC